GAAACAGGTGCAAGAGGGACGTTTAGGAGGTAGAACTGAAAGGTGGTGATGCGGCAGGGCATCTGGCTCTTGCAACTATTTCAGAGGGAGTGGCAAGACTTGGGTATTCAGACTGCAAAAAGTTTTAACATGTGTGACTGCCTCACTAACCACCCCAGTTCTACAACCCCAAATTCTCTAGACAGTTCTGCGTGACTTTCAGGCTTAGAATTCTGGGAGGAGTGGGCGTTCTGCCAGAAAAGAATATTTAGGGTCGGTGTTCTCCTTTGAATATATGTAAAGTGCATATGAACTCTCCAGATACTCATAAGCAGTGAAAGCAGCAAGTCTAAAAGTGCTTTTATTAAGGAGCTGGTACCTTCACAAATTATGTCCATAAAATTCCCCAAGACAAGATCCTGGATTCTAAATTACAACTAATTCATAAAAATGAAACGGGACATGCTACCCATAGAAATAATTGCTGTACTACAATTTCCATTAAGATGCAATAAGGAGATATTTCCCAAGACATAAATAACTGAAGGATCATCGAAGAAAAGTATCTAAATGGCATCTTCTCTTGAAACACTGAAGCCAGCTTCTTGGACTCAATATTTATGAATTCATTTCTATACATTCCATGGCATCATGTAAATGAAAACTACAGACATACCATAAATTGTATCATTAAGGGAAAGGCCTCACTGTGACATTCCTATCATATGAACAAATTTCCTGCCACTCTAAATGGAAACCACACCAGTTATTGCTTTCTCTATTCTAATATACATTTTTAGATTAGACCAGGTGATAAAGAACATAACTAAAGAGGCGCTCTATATTCACAGAAAACTGTTCCTATGCATTAAAGAAAATCCAGACTTGGACAAAACACCCTTGCTTGTCCATGCCATCCCCACCTCAGCCCTGTCCCAGGGGACAGCAGGGCATCTGCCTGCTAGTCAGAGCTGTGTAACATCTGGACGCTTTCTTGGTATCTAACAAAGAAACCCACAATGAAATAGTCATTATTCCAAAGTTTTTTTATTTCAAATTCATTGAAAGAAATAAAATTATATTTAAAAAAATAGAGTATTCTCACAAACTGAGGAAAGCCAGGAACAAAAAGAACGAGTTAAGTACTTTTTCCTGAGAGGCAGGTCTAACAGCTGTAGAATGGATTCCCTCCTTCCTAGCTTTTATCAAACAAAAAATGATTTCCTATTTCTAAGGCATCAAAAAGCACTTGTGTGCTAACTGGGTTGTTCAGGTACATAGTTTCAAGTCTCTAATGGGGATTAAGAAATAGCAAAAACTGCTATGATTTCCTTTATTATCAAGTTATACATACTTTTTTATGTAAATTTGAGAATTTCATACTCGTGACTGGTCATGTGACCCTCTTCTGGTCATATTTTATTAAAATCTTACTACTTCTTAGTAAGAATGTCCAAAGTATCTGAGCTCACATCCCCAAAACTGAAAGGGGCCAGACACCAGGAAGAGCTGCTCTTGATCTCACCACTTGCAGCCAAGACCAGTCAAAGCACCCATCTGGGAGACTCAGGTACAGCTAGAAACTTACATACTGAAGCCTAGTTCCTAAACAACAGGACCTGCCAGCAAAGGCAGATCAAATCCTAATGGTTCCATAAGTAACCTACAGAACAAAAGTTACAGAAGTCATTTTATAGTTCCCAAAGCTCTAAACTTACCCATCCCCCATACTTGATCTCCCTCCATTTTATACTGATAAATCTAAATCTATCAAACTAAGAACTTGCATTCCCAAACACTTCAGTAAGACAGTGAAGACAATAGTTAACATTTTTGTACTATGCATAAAGGGCTGCTTGTGCTCAAGTTTTCATTTGCATAGGTAACAAGAAAGCTTGAACTCATTTTTCCAAATTCCCAATTTCATGTTCTGATTTGAAATATTGAGTACACACTCCTGATGATTTCCCTAAAGCTTCTTTTCTAAGAGAGTTAAGTCAATTCATATAACTGGTAAACATTCATTCCATGGAGACATCAATTTCTGAAAGATATTTTTTAGTAAGATATTAAAATGTCTGTAACACCTACTATTGGTGCTTAAAGATTCAAGTGACCTAACTGCATCTCCAATTAGGTTAATTATATAACATTGATCAGCTATTAAAGAGTCAGTAGGATCTGTGGGTATCTCCTAGTTTGTTATTCAAAACACCTATTACCAGTAGGTCAATAGTCCAACCAAAGTAAACTGGTGTTAGACCCTAACAGAAGCCCCTATTCTGTCTCTTGGCTCTATAGGGAGCTAACCCTCCTGGGACAGCAGCTCTCCTGGAAAAACAGTGGGTTCCTGTCACTTGCAAAAGGGGCTCATGGCAGGCTCGTGGCCTTAATAATGGCTTTGCTGAGTTTCAGGGAGCTGTGATGTCTTCTGCCCAGAAGAACACAGACAGCGCTCTTCCACCAACCCAAGGGGACAACTTAAGTTACATGCTGGTTACACTGTTCCAGGTCCTAGTATGAAACAGCAATGTGGCCAAAAAAAACCCACATTCAAATGAGATACCTGGTAACAAAAACTTTTTAAATCAGACGTGACTCAGTCTCTTGTCACCAGCCCAGACACCAAAAAAATAAAAATTAAAAGAGGAAAAAAAACCACCCACAAAGCCAACAAATTTTAGCCAGAATTGTGCTGCTAAAAATAAAGTCAACAAGGACAATCAGAACTACCAACATTGATATAAATCAGACTAGAGATTCCCGACTTGATTGCCATATTCTTAGTCTCAATAAAAATGTCAATATCCTGAGTGTTATCAGTATTTTCTTTCTAAAATAACTTATGGGATATAAAAGCATACAAATAACTAAACAGAAGCAGTGGTACAAAAAGTCTGGAAGAACAGCTAACTCGAAAAAGAAATATCACAAAAATATAAAAAGATGTATTTAAGTGAAATAAATTAAAGGTTAAACCTTACACTTTCAAGTTTTCTTAGACTATTATTTTGGGAGTTGATGCATTTTTCTCATAATCACTTGGTTAAGTCCAAACACCAAATAGTCCTTCAAAGGAAGTTTTTGCCTTTAAAACTCATGGCCCCATAGCAGATATTTCAACACAAGTCAAACTACCTACTGAACTGGAATTCCAACTCCTAATCAGTAGCTTCTGTGATTAAACTACTAAGACATTTTGTTTACTAAGTTGGTTGTCAAAATGGTATTTAAAAAAAAAAAAAATGCTTACTTTACTAGCATCTGCAGAAACTAAAATTTTAGTACATAAGTTTCTATAAACTACTGAGTTTGGTGTGTTTTTTTAAAGGATACCAAAAAAATGCTAATCCAATAACCCAAAGGTATCCCAAAAGCATAATTCTAATATGCTTTACTTGTATTTCTTAAAAACCTATATGCTTCCTAAGTGTTATATTTTTAAGCCAAATGGCTGCATACTGCCTTTAAAATGCAATGGGGTTTCTTTACTTAACCTGACATTGCTACTCAAAAACTTATACTTATTGGGGAACCAGTAATACTTATGCTAAACCAAGGTTTATGCTATACATAACATCACTCCAAATTACAAAGTGATTGGTTTCTATAGCCCTAAGGATTTTTAATACATAATTTAGAATAAAATCACAAATAGATTATCACAAACAGCATTCAACTCTTAATCCAATTAACCATATCCATCAAAACCCAGAACTTTCTGTGTGACCTGCCAGTTCCTCATTCCTTTTGTTAACCTAAAAAAGAAGCACTTCTTGGGAAGTCAGGATTTATTAAGAACACCCAGGTCTGGGACTTTTTTTTTTTTTTTTTACCATATACCTTAAAAATTTGTTTGTCCCAGTATCATTTAAAACCAGAAATTCTAATTACATGGCTAACATTTTAGCTAATCAATTCTTCAGTGCTGATCCTAGAAAACAACCTTCAATGGATCTTTGGGGAACAAGACAATGTTCAACCATTGACACAAGTGGTGTAGGTCGCCACACCTTTAATGTTCAAGCCACAAGTAGTGAAGTCAGGAGGGGTGCCATCTACTGTCCTGCATTATCAGAATTTGTCATATTTTCAGTGCTACTGGGTTGCACGTTGTCTGCAAGGTTGTGCGCATGCTCAAGAAACAAATCTTTCAGTACACTTAATTCCTTAGTCAGTAGTTTAATTTTTGCTTCCAACCGTTCATTCTCTTCTTTGAGCTGATTCACTCTCTGCAGGGTATCCTGTGCTTTCTGCTTGCTTTTCAACCGGCTCTTTTTCACAGCCATGTTGTTCCTTTCTCTGCGCTGACGATACTCATCACTGTTTCGATCCATGGGTGAGCTCTTTTTGCTTTGCTTGCTTGGAGGCGCCGCCTTGCCTCCTCCCCCAGGGCCAGCGGGCACCAGCTGAGGAACCTGCTGCAAGCCGCTGGCATGAGCTGGAGTGTGAATAACACTTATTCCGTTCACTCCTGGAGTACTGTTCTGCTGCGATATCTTGCTCATTTGGGCACTCTCCCTTGCCAACACAGAACAGGCAGAAATGAGGGCACAGTGATCAATGGTTTCCACTCTACACTGCCAAGAAATCTTCACATGTACCTAGTTGAAGAATAAACTGCATTAAAATATTTGAAATGACAAGATCAAATGAGATTAAACGTGCATGTACCTAACAGAAGGCCAACATTGATTATGCTGAGGAAAGTCTACAGCAGCTGCCAACTGTTCCAATGTTTCAGAAGTCTAAGCCATTTAACTGAGGAAGGTAAGCTAGTAGAGAAGCACCATAAGGCCAAATTCAGCCCACATGAACCCCTGAGGGTACTGCCCATCTGTGACTGTTTTCAAAAATGGGAGGAAAAACACAAGAATACCACTAATTAGACAACACATATGAACTACTAGTGCTTGGCAATCTGCCAGAGAGAAATTTGAGATGTTTGGTTTGAACAGGGAATAGGTGAGTTCAATTATAATAGAAGAGACACCGACAGTGCAAGGGGGAAAAGCTTCCATTGCTGATTGAAGTTGAAATCCAATGCTGCAGCAGAACGCCCCACTCGTGTTCATCGAGAATACTGTCCTAGGGTCGCTACATGCTCCTTATTCCAATAGGCAGAGTGCGTCACCAAGGACTTGACTTCTTTCCCAGAGGGTGTTTCATGGGATATTTTGAAAAGGTGGGTTTTGGCTTGTTTTTATTTTTTGAATGACCTCAGTAATAGTTTACAGAGATTTCCTAAGTTAGTTTCTTGAATCACAGATTTAGGAGCTCTGAGACACCCAATATGCTTCCCCATTCCACCATGCTTCTAATAGTGTTTCTTTCTTGTTGACATAATTAAAAAACACATCTAAACACAGTCAAACTAAAACCACAAGGAAAGAAACAGAAGTCCAGGAACTGCAAGTACTGGGACTGAGGCTAGACAGAGACTGAGCAGCTGCAGTGCCTGCGCCCACCTCACTGCCGGGGGAGCTCAGGGGACATACCAGTCCTGAAATAACTAGTGCTGCTTCAGACATGAAATCACAGTTTCAAAAACTAGTCATATCTGGGTTACTATAAATTCAAGTAGGTCACTACAGCTGCCTCAAGATGTGTCAAAAAGCACACCTATCTTATCATCATAAAGTCACTTCAAGACAAACTGGCTAAGCTGAGTGAACCGTGTCCATCAAGAAGTCATAGCATTCTTAAAAATTTAGAAAGCAGTGTTGTGAACCATAAAACTATACCTTTCTCTTTTCACAAAACTACTAAAGCTGTATGATAAAAAAACCTGGAGCCATAATTATGAAATGCCTCAAATGAGTATATCTCATAGTTCTTCAGAGAAGCTCAGTTAGTAAACACCAGTAGCTTCACCCAAACCTTTAGCCGGGCATTTCTATATGAACGGATGTCTGCTTTATAAAATCTTAGCTTTTAAAAAGTCCATATACCCTTTCGGTTTTCGGCTCAAAGGTGACCTTTAAGCAACTTTCTTCAGTCATCCCGAATCCAGGTTCATCCAACACCAGCCATCTCCCCCATGCCGCCGAAGTTCGAGTCCAACAAGATCAGTCATATACTTAAGTTGCACCAGTGGGGAAGTTGATGCCACGTCTGCCCTGACCCCCAAGATTGATCGACTCCTTGGGTCTGTATCCAATAAAGGTTGGTGATGGCATCGCCAAAGCAATCAGTGATTGGAAGAGTCTGAGGATTACAATGAAACTGACCATTCAGAACAGAGAGGCCCAGATTGAGCAGTACCTTGTGCATCTGCCCTGGTCATCAAAGCCCTCAAAGAAACACCAAGAGACAGAAAGAACCAAATAAACATTAAGCATAGTGGAAATAACCACTTTTGATGAGACTGCCAACAATGCCCAACAGATGCAGCACCAATCTTTAGCTAGAGAGCTCTCTGGAACCATTAAAGAGATTCAGGGGACTGCCCAGTCTGCGGGCTGCAATGTTGATGGCTACCAGCCTCATGACATCATAGGTGGCATCAACAGGGAAGCTCAGTTGGTTAGAGTGTTGTCCCAATACACCAAGGTTGTGGGTTTGATCCCTGGTCAGGGCACATACAAGAATCAACCAATGAATGCATAGGTAAGTGGGACAATAAAACGATGTTTCTCTTTCCTCCTCCCTCTCTCTCTCTCTCAAATCAATAAATTAAACAACGGAAAATATTTCAATTAAAGATCATTTGATAACCAACAATTTTTTTTTTTAAGTCCATATATCATTACTTTCAACTGTTTTTAAAGCCACACAGGCAGCCTTGAGCTAGTGGGGCATCTGTTTCACTCCAGTACTACAGCAAGATAGAAAGCTCCCTTCCAAACCATGATGGATATCTAGTCCAAGGCTATGGTCAGGAATGGACACTTCACAATTTCCCAGACAATTACCTATTTGGTAGAAAGTGAACATAAGTGTTTTATTCAATTTTAAAGAGCTCATTGAGCACCTCTCCTGGGATCAGCTCAACAATCATGACCATGTCATCTTATTTCTCTCATTTCATACAGTGTACCACTTATATTTAGTTTTTAAAGCTAATCTCTACAGTCACCTCAACAGTAACAAAGGGGGATGTAGAACGGTAAAATGCCTTCTGACCGACAACACACCATCAACTGCCGTCACTGAAAACTCTTATTAAAGGCTCCAAACTCATTGATGTCCATGCCCATTTTTGTACCCAAAGATAGGGAAGGGCTCTTTTACCTCAGTCTGACTCATCTTGCCAAGCAAAGTACTAGGCTGAACACAGTAGGCGAGGTTTTGAAAATGAGCCCTTTGGCTTGAAAACAAAGAGTATCATCAAACTGGTAAAACTGTAAGAAAGGGAAACTTGAGGTAATAAAAAGAACTCCAAAAATGTTGTTGGTTTTTTTAAAAAAAGTCCTTTAGCCCCAGCCACTGTGGCTAAGTGGTTAGAGCGTCAGCCCGAGCACAGAAGGGTCGAGGGTTCAATTCCCAGTCAAGGGCATGTACCTGGGATGCAGGTTCAATCCCCAGCCCCGGTTGGGGCTCGTGCAGGAGGCAACCAATCGATGTCTCTCACACTAATGTTTCTCTCCCCGCCCCCCTTAAAAAGCAATGGAAAAAACATCCTTAGGTGAGGATTAAAAAAAAAAGTCCTTCAACTAAAGACAAGCCAAGAAAGTAGCTCTTAAAGTGAAGAGATATCCATTAAGGAAAATGAACCAAGTAAAGGGAGTCAAAGAGCCAAATGGTCTGAAAGACTTAACTCCCAACAGATTATTGGTTTTGTTTTTACACTGAGCAAATAGCTGCCTCTAAAATTTACACATTTTACAGTTTACCCTGTCATTTGTGCTTTTGTTCCTTCCACAAACATTTGAGCCCCTACAATAGCCAATAAAATAAGTTTACTTCAAATCTGGACATTCAACCCTACATGCAAGTCTGGCTCCTATGTGGACAAATACTATTCCAAAGTTCAGTCTACAGGAAGCAGGGTGGCGCCTTGTTTCCCTGAATATGAATCATTCAAGCAGGAAGCAGTAGGAAAACCGAAAAGCAGTAGCACTCAAAGTGTGGTCCTTGGACCAGCAACATCATCATTTGGGAACTTGTTAGAATTACAAATTCTCAGGCTGCCCAGATCTAGGAATCAGGAGCTCTAGGAATAGGGCTGGCTGAGCAATCTTGTTTTAATAGGACCTCCACGCAATTCTGATGACACCGAAGTTTGAAAGCCACTACTGCAGATGACAACAGATCTTTAAAACTGGGGAACATTTTTAAAATTCAAATGTCTTCATTCAAATCAGTAACACCCTGAAAACTCAATGTTAGAATGAGCAAAACAAAAATCAATTTTCATTTGGGAAAATAAACATGTCAAGAATTTTCTAACCTCTTGTCATTTTCCCCCACATATGTACAATCAGACATTCCTTCCTGGTCCCCCCAAATAAAATTTTCACTCAAATTTCCTCAGTGAAGGTCTACATGCCAAAATATTTATAGATGTTTCTCCCTTTCTCCAAATCTGTTCAATCACTAACAGGTGGCAATTCTACCCCCACCCAGGGAAAAAAACTTTACATCCACCATCCCTCTCCATCCCAATGCCACAGAATTACCTCAGGCTGACATCATGGCTCAGGCTGACATCATCTCTCAGGGGCACTGGTCTCCTCTGGTTTATTTAGCATGTTCCCTCCAACCACTGTCTCCAGAGCAATCTAACACTCAAACCCAAGTGTATCACACGCTCTTGTTGAAAATTCTGTGGCTCCCACAAGCAGGATTAGATCCAAGGTATTAAGCCTCCCTCTTGCCCCCGCTCTCCTATACTTCACATCTCAATACTAAACCACCACCAGGCCTCTAAATGGCCGGTGCTTTCTCTTTTCTTTGTGCTTCTGTCCAGTTCGTTCCCTGGGTCTCTTTGTCAACACCAACTCTACAGTGTGTCTCCCCGCAGACTAACCTAGAGACCTAGAGGCAGGACTCTGCCCTCATCTCCACAGGCCCAGCGTCTGGTGCAGGACTGGGCAGACAGTGGTGGTGCTTAAGGAATACTTGTTGAATATAGGCTCCAAAGGCTAAGAGAAAATGTTTTTTAATAAAAGTCTTATAAAAATGAGGCACTCTAGATTAAAATCTCTTAAAATAATCGTAATTAAATCAAGAGTATTACTAAGATATCATGGTCTTACTACCTAAAGTTCAGAGTATTTCTTAAAAGTGTACGGTTAATACCTTGGATTTGATCCTGTTTGTGGGAAAATAAAAATACAGTTCCATTTGCTACCACAAGTCCCCAGTCTATACAGTGAACACCATTCTTGCCTAGCCTTTGCTTCATTTCAGTTATTTTCTACTTAGTCTCATTGTTTTCCAATTAATAATCTCAAGTTCTTAGGCATGTGCTGCCAGGGTGTGACAACTCTGTACTACAAGGAAAGTCAAGGTAAGCAGTCAAAGTCAATAGATATCCAAGGGAGCAGTTCTTTCCATTTAGTTGTACTGCTTGCTCCATGACCCAAAACAGGGGTCCATGAAGGAGGGTCCATCCCTTCAGGGAGTATATAAATGAGAAGAAAATGTATGGTCATTTGTCTTTTTTAAATGTCATTTTAAAATCCACTTTTGGTGTGATAACATACACAAAGAAACAGTACACACACATTATTTATAAATATACATCTATTAGGAGATGTGTTCTGTTTGTTTTTACTGATAGGGCTGGAAAGCCTACAAGGTAGAACAATGTACGTTAACTACTAGTACAAGATACCAGTATAAGAACCCATGAAGGCATCCTCTCTCAAGAATATGCAATAAACCTGGAACTGTGGCCACCTGCATTTATCATTACTGTGATCAGCTGCGGCAATCTTAGACCTTACGTCCAAATTCAGCCCTCATGAGGTCCTATTTGTCTTTACTAAGCACTCAACATGTGCTGTCTAAATCCCTAGGGAGGAAACCACCTCTCCATGATCAGATAACCTTGCTGGTGTGCTCTTGAGAATTTAAAGGATATTCTGGGGGAGGGGAAAAAAAGTTTTGTTTCTGTTTTTTTAGGCACGTATTAAAAATGACTGAATCAGCCAAGGGTGCCCATCAGAAGCAGGAATCAAGAAGTTGAAAAATTCTTCAGCCCATTAGCATCCTGTAATTATTTAACCTTGTTTACAGTAATTTCTTCCAGAAACAAGGAATCAACTTTAAGAACAGCTTATCCCAAATACCACTCAAGTGGTGATAGCTGTCCAGATTTTAACTTTTAAATATCAAAAACTTGGATGCAGAATTTCTTGGTAAAGCAAGCCCTTACAAGTTTACTTCGAAAACTTCTTTGGGAGTCGCATAACCTATCTGACTTTAGAGACAAGCTCTTCAAAAATAAGGATTCAAATGAGTGTAGACTCAGAAACAGAACTACCAATTTTTGTGCAGCCCCTAATGTTAAAACCTACCTGAAACTAAAACATTTTAAGATGCCTGATTAAGCATAAATCCCAGACAAGAGGAAAACCAAACGCTTAAACCTTCTGAAGAAAAACATACAAGCTTACTTGGAACAGATTATCCTTCCCCTCAAACCTGCAATCCCATCCTCTCCACCTTAGACACCTCGGCTAGCTGTTCCCTGCTGTGTTCCCTCCACCCGCTAACCCAGCCCTTTCCAATTCAACTCGTGGCTGCCGCAAATTCATCTCACCTGCGTTCAACAGTAAACAGCGGGGTATTCAGGCTAAGGCTCCGTAAGTGACACAATAGTATTTCTGTAAAGTCACAAGGTAAAAATCAACTGCTCTCCCTGACTATCCCTCTATTGACTTCTGAGCAGAATTCTCGACGACCCCACATGGAGCAGTTCTGGAGGAGCAGGACATATCCTATGTGGCACTAAAATAAGATGCGGTCCACCTCCGGCTCTCCTGGGAACACCCTTTATCCCCAGGGGCCAATACGAGCCGAGCTTGTCACCACCGCACTAGCACAGACAGCCGGGCTTTGGAGGGGGCGCATCTCGTCTTCCGTCCGGTCCCCGGC